CATCGACGTCACAGGAATACAGAACGGTAACCCCATCTGCTCCCCTGGAAACTGGGTTGATCGATTTCACCCTCCCGAAGCTGGGAAACCCCCTCCACCGTTCTCAGTAAGTGAGCCGGGAGACGGCCGGTGGACCTACTTGAGAAGGCTCACGGAAAGCGCCAAAGGAGATTTGTTGATTACCTTTCCCCTAGGTCCCTTTAAGAATTGAGTCACATTTTTGGAGGAGCCCAGGTGTCAGCTCTCTGGATGGATGTTGCTAACCGCAACGGAATCGTTGCTGACAAGAAACAAATCTGGGTTACCGATGTGTTTGGGAAGTCAGTCACAGCCAACCTCCTGAGTCAAGTGCTGGCTGCCAGGAGATACATCCCCGGTTGAAGTCACAATGATGTTAGGCTCGTTGCCCACTAACATTTTAGGACTGGACATATTGAAGAGGAAAGCGTGGGTGGACTCAAAGGGAAGGGAATGGAAATTTGGAATCCTTGTGGCTTCCGTAAGACTTTTGCAGTTGGCGCCTGCCCTTCCTCCTTCTAAAATAGTTAATGTGAACCCCTATGCCTTGCCGTTAGGGGCAAGAGAGGGACTCACCCCTGTAATAACAGAGTTACGGGGAAAGGGGATAATTATCCCAACTCACTCACCTTATAATTCTGTGGTGTGACCAGTCCGTAAACCCACTGGAAAGTGGCAAATGACAATTGACTGTCAGTGCCTAAATGCTAACACAGGCCCCTTGACCGCTGCCGTGCCTAGCGGGGCCAAGCTGATTGCTGCTATGCAGGAACAAGCCCACCCGATTTTAGCAACTGTTGGTATAAAAGACATGTTTTTTATGGTTCCCTTGCAGGAAGCGGACAGATATTGTTTTGCTTTCACCTGGGAAGGGGTGCAATTTACTTTTACACGCCTTCCTCAGGGATACTGCCATTCACTGACCATCACCAACTATGCCCTGGTGCAGGAGCTTGCCCATGTTACCCCTGAGAAGGGAGTTAAGGTGTATCAATGTATTGATGATGTATTGGTTGGCGGCCGTGATACCAATGTAGTGGGACAGACCCAAACAAAAATAATTGCTCATCTGGAGAGTTCAGAACCCCAGATTCTGACAGAGAAGATACAGCTTCTATCCTCGGAGGTAAGGTTTCTGGGTATCTGGTGGAGGGGTGGAACAGTGTGTGTTCCCCCCGAAACCTTGACTACCCTTGAACAAGTGAAAAGTCCTGGAAACAAGACGGAACTCCAACATGCCTTAGGCCTGTTGGTATTCTGGAGAAAACACATTCCAGACTTTTCTATAATAACCCGACCCCTGTATGACCTGACATGCAAAAGGGCCTCTTGGGATTGGACCCCCGTTCATGAGGAAGCCTTGAAGCTATTGATTTTTGAGGCTGGGGTATATCAGGTTTTAGGGCCAATACACCCAACTGATCCACTCCATATTGAATGGGGTTTTGCAATTCATGGCCTGTCAATACACATGTGGCAACGTGGACCTGAAGGCCCAACTTGTCCTATGGGTTTTTATTCACGTAGTTTTAAAGATGCTTTGTGATTAGTTTGGCTTTGCAGGAGGCTGAGAAAATTATACGGCAATAACCAAGCATTTTACAAGGGCCCTTTAAGGTCCTGAAACCGGTACTGGCCCGGACACCTCTCCCCTCCGTGGGAACTGCGTGGTGAGAGACGGTGAGGAAGCGGTGTGCACAGTTAGACCACTACTGCCGTGCACGCCAGGTAGAGGAAGGGAACCACAGAATCTCCATGATCCTCTCTGGACAGTCCAGTTCGGGTCGTGACCAAGGAGCACGACTATGCTTGAAGAGGTCTAAAGGTTGAATAAGAAAATGCCAAGAGCACATGCTCACAGTTGCTTTTCTTGCTTGTGAGAGATTGTGTGCTGTAGGTCAGAGCACTCCATTGTGATTTTTGCAGTTTTGTGGGTCTTCCTGAATCTTACGAATGAATCTGAGATGACAGACTGGAGAAAGGTTCAAGTACAGAACAGCATATAGCAAAAGGCATAAGGAGAAGTTACAAAGAAGATTTTATAGATGTTTGTACTGTATACAGAAAAAATGTATAGTTACAAGGCTGAGAAGAAATGTAGTGTCGTGTCGTGGAAGCAAATGCACAAAGGTGAAAACAACCAAACGCGAAGTATTTATGTGGTATTTTGATACGGCGATGATTTAGTGCATCCAGCAGAGACGGCCTTAATGAAAAAGAAGAACATGTTATAAAAGTTGTACACGCTTGAAGATCATTTATCTGGGAAATCATTTAAGTGAAAGCTTAAGAAATAGCATGAGGACAAAATATTCTGTCATAAACATTCAAGGCCAGTAAAGGTTAGTGTTTGCGACTTGTATGTAGCTATAGTTTTTGCTTGCGGAGGGGAGCTTTTACTCTCTGTGTTCTAGCAGTACGTGGTTGGAAATGCAAAATCTCTCCTTGTGCAAAGTTTAAAAAAGTGATATGATGATACTGCTGTTGGCTTAGGAAATGGTATAAAATTAATCATAGAATCATAGAATGCTTTGGGTTGGAAGGGACCTTTAGAGGTCATCTAGCCCAACCCCCCTGCAGTGAGCAGGGACAGCTTTAACCAGATCAGGTTGCTCAGAGCCCCGTCCAACCTGACCTGGAATGTTGCCAGGGATGGGGCCTCTACCACCTCTCTGGGCAACCTGTTCCAGTGCTTGACCACCCTCATTGTAAAAAATTTCTTTCTAATATCTAGTCTAAATCTATTCTTATTTAGTTTAAATCTGTTATTCCTTGTCCTGTCACAACAGGCCTTATTAAAAAGATTCTCCCCATCTTTCCTGTAGGCCCCCTTTAAGTATTGGAAGGTCGCAATAAGGTCTCCTCGCAAAGGAAAATTGCCACTATATGTGATCTTCCTCTGCTCTGCTCTTGTGAGACCCTACCTGGAGTACTGCATCCAGCTCTGGGGCCCCTAGCACAAGAAGGACATGGACCTGTTGGAGCGGGTCCAGAGGAGGGCCACAAAAATGATCAGCAGGCTAGAATACCTCTCCTGTGAGGACAGGCTGAGATAGCTGGTGGTGTTCAGTCTGGGGAAGAGAAGGCTGTGGGGAGACCTTATAGCAGCCTTTTGATATATAAAGGCAGCTTATAAGAAAGATGGAAAGAGACTTTTTACCAGGGCCTGTAGTGACAGGACATGGGGCAATGGCTTTAAACTGAGAGAGGGTAGATCTAGATTGGACATTAAGGAGGAAATTTTTTTTGCTGAGGGTGGTGAGGCACTGGAACTGGTTGCACAGAAAAGCTGTGGATGCCCCGCCATTGGATGTGTTGAATGTCAAGTTGGACAGGGCGTTGAGCAACATGATCTAGTGGAAGATGGCCCTCCCCATGGTGGGGGAGTGGAACGAGATGATCTTAAAAGGTCATAAACCTTTAAAGGTTTATACTGACTATAGGTATGGACGAAAAGGCTTTTCATATAATGTCTTTTGGTGGAGAAGCTGGTTATCTGTCTTTTGGGTTGTTATAGTAGGTCACATGATTGATTGCAATCTCACGGAGTAAGTTGTATGGTGAAAATTTTACATGAAAGATGCTTGAAGGCTGCATCATGCTTATGTAGATGTCTCCTTAAAACTCAAGTTTACCATTATCAATAGCAGGCAGAGAAGTAGTCTGCTACCCAAGTGACCTGCTGTTTGTCCAGGAGGCATCCCTGGAAAGCACAGTGGTTACTGATATTTCAAATAGCAAAGGAGTTTTTCCCCATAAGAATTAATGTATTGGAAGTAGTGGTACATGAAGGGACTTAAGAATTTAAATATACAAGGACAGTGTGTGTGGCGTGAAGGATGAAGAGGCAGGAACAGGCTCATCAGCTGGCTTTTTGAAATGAATTGCTGGTGTGAATCTTTTGGTGTGAGCTTTCTTCCTGCCTCTTTGAGAAGGCAGTAATGAAAACATAACCAATCATCTCGCTCCTGAACGAAGATCAGGTAAGTCAACCGAGGCAAAGATGAAGAAAAGCGGTAATGATCAGGTATTTAGTCTCATAGGTGAAGGAGGCTGGCTTCTCTTTGAATGATGATTCTGTCCGGAAGAACAGCATCTCCTCTGTTTCATGGGTTATCTGTCATCCTGTTCTTCTTAGTCTTCCGTGACAAATACAACGAATTTAAATAAATCAGGACAGTATATTTTGTCTGACCTGCATATATCTTCCTTCTATTCCATTAATTCTTACATCGAAAAGTGCTTTGCTTTTTGTCATACTCAGTCAACTGCTTTGTGGGACAAATGAGCTTATGGCTCAAGATAAGAGGTAAGGCCAACCAGGGGAACAGGAGGGTGAGTGTCTGCTACAGACCACCAAATCAGGAAGAAGAGGTGGATGAAGCCTTCTTTAAACAACTGGAAGAAGCCACCTGCTCACAGGTCCTGGTTCTCATGGGGGCCTTTTACCACCTAATACCTCCTAGGGAGGCAATGTGGCAGGGCCCAAGGAATTGAGGATTTTTCTGGAGTGCTTGTAGGATGATTTCTTTCATGCAAGTGCTTAATGAGCCAACTGTGGAAAACATGTTGCTGGTTCTGCTGCTTGTGAATATGGAAGAAGATGGATGGCAGCCTTGGCTGCAGGGGCAATGGATGATGAAGTTGAAGATCCTGAAAGCAAGGAAGGCAAGTTCCAGATTAAAGTACACTCTGTGAGGGTAAACATATACATGTTCAGGTCATCTTGGTCAAGAGTCTAGTAAAAGTATAGTAAACATTTTTGTTCTATTTATTTTGTAATGGTAGAGTGGAACATAAGAATTGAATTGTGTATCTCTCTAGTGTATGCAGGGAAGAAACCTTTTTTTTAATGATCTAACCTAGAATTTACATAAATGCTATGCATTAGTTTCTGAATAGCTGCCATTTTATTTTCCTGCCGGAGTAGAACCCAGAAAAACTCAGTGTATTTTGCCAGTCCGATTGTGCTGTTCTTTGGTGACAAAGAAGTAGGTGACTTCTTTGATGGAATACCAATAACTAGGAAAAACAGACTTGTACTTGAACTTCTTTGAAAGTTCTCTAAATATCTTTAAAATTTCTTGCTGTTAAAGATTTTGATACTGAATCTTGTTCTGTAGTGCTTTAAATTTTTGTTTGTTTGTTTTAAGATGTTTCTAGTGCGAATTAAATTACCAGTTATTGCAAATATGTGTATTTTGCTTTGGGCTTACTTGGTACAATGTTTCATATGCATTTGTGGAGTGTACTGAAATAATCAGGACTGGTATTTACATAGATGACAGAATAAACCATAAAAAACACTCAAAAGCAATGTTGTTTAAGGACAGCCTACTCTGAAGCAGTCCTTCAGTAAGCTACAAAACTACTTCACAGGAAAAGTTAAAAATGACAAATGGTTTAAAAAAAAAAAACCTTTAAAAAAATAACAGAGTAGGTGAACTGAGGATGATTAGATTGTAAACTCTTTAGGGCAGAGGCTGTTTTCTTACTTCGTGTTTCTGCAGAGCAGTGAGTTGCTTAGCACTTCTAGACATGACAGTAAGTTAAGTAATTATCAGAACTGGGATAGTGATAACAATAACCCTTAGATTCATTGCCTTAGATTTAGGCACGGGCAGATGAATTTTTGAGGGGAAAAAAATAGCTTGTCTTAGAAAAACTCTTATTACTTAAAAATGAGGGGAATGCTTGAGTATGTCTAAATCCATTCTTAAAGGACTACCTTTGTGATCAGAAGAACGGTCAGGATGTTGGGAGAAAAGTGAAATGGGATGTTTATAGAATTCAGAGTCTTCTGAGTGTGATCTGGTTGTGTGGCACACAGTGTGGATGTAGGTATATATAAAACATTTCAGTATCAGGCTGGAATGGAAGAAAAGAAACTCACTTTTCTCCCTTGACTGAGCAGTTGCTGATACTCACCAGTGCTGTTGGTCCTAAGAGTCATGCTGGTCCCCTCTGCTGCTGCTAAATAGGAACCTTACTTGCTGCATGTTGTCATTACTGTTAAGCATTACAAACAGCATCCCACAAAACGTGATGGAGTCAAAACTGGAAAAGTAATTGAACAATGATTTCCTTTATATGTTGTGGAATCTCACATGATCACAGACGTTGCACACTTGTAGTTTGGCTTGTTCCTAGTGAAAACACTCGGATCGTTAGTTTAGACTCAATATTTTAGAGAATGAAAATGAGCCTAATCACTTGCCTACTGGGTGAAACTTGCAGCATTGGCACTTTGCTTCTTCTGGCCCCTGAGGGGACGGAGCACGCAGGTCTGGGTGAGTGTCGAACGGGCCCAGCAGTGACTTGGCACTGAGAGAGGATGGTCGTGGTATCCTCAAGAACCAGTCAACACAGTGCTGTGGGAGTAGGGGGAACTTCTTTGCTGACGCTTCTTTTGGTCGATTCATAGACTATATGCCGTGTAGTGAAAGATGATTAAGCCTGCCTTGAATTGTATATTTAGAATATCACTGAGTATAAGTTTGCTTTACAGTGTACTTTCTGGTTGAGTCTCTGACCTCTGATTTTGCTGGGCATCTTTGCTTTTGTCATGTGCTTTTATCACTGGCTTTCAACTTTATTGACACCAAATTCGGATGATCCTTTGCCGTTTTCAGGAGAGTTTGAGCTATATACTTTTAATTTTAACTACCTGGTTAAGGTGCCTTCTGCTTTATATGATATAGTACACTTGTTCTACAATTTTTCTTTATAAGTTCCTCTTGCTTAGGATTGGCTTCAGTACCCTGCTCATGGGCTAGACAGCTTTAAGATTTCATAAAAACCTTAATGATTTGTTGAATGGCTGTGGTGGGTTGACCCTGGCTGGATGCCAAGCACCCATCAAAGCTGCTGTATCACTCCCCTCCTCAACTGGACAGGGGAGAGAAAATATAACGAAAAGCTCGTGGGTCAAGATAAGGACAGGAGATCACTCAGCAACTACCGTCATGGGCAAAACAGACTTGACTTGGGGAAATTAATTTAATTTATTGCCAATAAAATCAGAGGAGTGTAATGAGAAATAAAACCAGATCTTAAAACACCTTCCCCTCACCCCTCCCTTCTTCCCAGGCTCAACTTCACTCCCAATTTCTCTACTTCCTCCCCCCGAGCAGCACAGAGGGACGGGGAATGGGGGCTGTGGTCAGTTCATCACACGTTGTCTCTGCCGCTCCTTCCTCCTCAGGGGAGGACTCCTC